CTCTCCGCATGTCCTCAATATTCCACAGTATCCATGTCGCCACGGCTCGCTCGCCGTGCGTCACTCGACTCGCTCACCACCTTTGTCTCTCCACTCCCCACTATTTCTGCGCTTACTCCACCGCTAACTTCTTCGTCTCCGCTCTCACCGTCGCTATGCTCTCTCGACTGCTAACTACTTCGTCTCTGCTCTCCGCTATCACCGTCACTATGCTCTCTCCACTGCTAACCACTTCGTCTCTGCTCTCCGCTATCACCGTCACTATGCTCTCTCCACTGCTAACTACTTCTCTACTCTCCGCTATCACCGTCACTATGCTCTCTCCACTGCGAGCTACTTCGTCTCTGCTCTCCGCTATCACTGACGCTATGCTCTCTCCACTGCTAACTGCTTCGTCTCTGCTCTCCGCTATCACCGTCACTATGCTCTCTCCACTGCTAACTGCTTCGTCTCTGCTCTCCGCTATCACCGTCACTATGCTCTCTCCACTGCTAACTGCTTCGTCTCTGTTCTCCGCTATCACCGTCACTATGCTCTCTCCACTGCTAACCACTTCATCTCTGCTCTCCGCTATCACCGTCACTATGCTCTCTCCACTGCTAACCACTTCCTCTCTGCTCTCCGCTATCACCGTCACTATGCTCTCTCCACTGCTAACCACTTCGTCTCTGCTCTCCGCTATCACCGTCACTATGCTCTCTCCACTGCTAACTACTTCGTCTCTGCTCTCCGCTATCACCGTCACTATGCTCTCTCCACTGCTAACCACTTCGTCTCTGCTCTCCGCTATCACCGTCACTATGCTCTCTCCACTGCTAACTACTTCTCTACTCTCCGCTATCACCGTCACTATGCTCTCTCCACTGCGAGCTACTTCGTCTCTGCTCTCCGCTATCACTGACGCTATGCTCTCTCCACTGCTAACTGCTTCGTCTCTGCTCTCCGCTATCACCGTCACTATGCTCTCTCCACTGCTAACTGCTTCGTCTCTGTTCTCCGCTATCACCGTCACTATGCTCTCTCCACTGCTAACCACTTCATCTCTGCTCTCCGCTATCACCGTCACTATGCTCTCTCCACTGCTAACCACTTCCTCTCTGCTCTCCGCTATCACCGTCACTATGCTCTCTCCACTGCTAACCACTTCGTCTCTGCTCTCCGCTATCACCGTCACTATGCTCTCTCCACTGCTAACTACTTCGTCTCTGCTCTCCGCTATCACCGTCACTATGCTCTCTCCACTGCTAACCACTTCGTCTCTGCTCTCCGCTATCACCGTCACTATGCTCTCTCCACTGCTAACTACTTCTCTACTCTCCGCTATCACCATCACTATGCTCTCTCCACTGCGAGCTACTTCGTCTCTGCTCTCCGCTATCACTGACGCTATGCTCTCTCCACTGCTAACCACTTCCTCTCTGCTCTCCGCTATCACCGTCACTATGCTCTCTCCACTGCTAACTGCTTCGTCTCTGCTCTCCGCTATCACCATCACTATGCTCTCTCCACTGCTAACTGCTTCGTCTCTGTTCTCCGCTATCACCGTCACTATGCTCTCTCCACTGCTAACCACTTCATCTCTGCTCTCCGCTATCACCGTCACTATGCTCTCTCCACTGCTAACCACTTCGTCTCTGCTCTCCGCTATCACCGTCACTATGCTCTCTCCACTGCTAACTACTTCGTCTCTGCTCTCCGCTATCACCGTCACTATGCTCTCTCCACTGCTAACCACTTCGTCTCTGCTCTCCGCTATCACCGTCACTATGCTCTCTCCACTGCTAACTACTTCTTCTCTACTCTCCGCTATCACCGTCACTATGCTCTCTCCACTGCTAACTACTTCGTCTCTGCTCTCCGCTATCACCGTCACTATGCTCTCTCCACTGCTAACCACTTCGTCTCTGCTCTCCGCTATCACTGTCACTATGCTCTCTCCACTGCTAACTACTTCTCTACTCTCCGCTATCACCGTCACTATGCTCTCTCCACTGCGAGCTACTTCGTCTCTGCTCTCCGCTATCACTGACGCTATGCTCTCTCCACTGCTAACTGCTTCGTCTCTGTTCTCCGCTATCACCGTCACTATGCTCTCTCCACTGCTAACCACTTCGTCTCTGCTCTCCGCTATCACCGTCACTATGCTCTCTCCACTGCTAACGGCTTCGTCTCTGCTCTCCGCTATCACCGTCACTATGCTCTCTCCACTGCTATCGGCTTCGTCTCTGCTCTCCGCTATCACCGTCACTATGCTCTCTCCACTGCTAACCACTTCGTCTCTGCTCTCCGCTATCACCGTCACTATGCTCTCTCCACTGCTAACCACTTCGTCTCTGCTCTCCGCTATCACCGTCACTATGCTCTCTCCACTGCTAACTACTTCTCTACTCTCCGCTATCACCATCACTATGCTCTCTCCACTGCGAGCTACTTCGTCTCTGCTCTCCGCTATCACCATCACTATGCTCTCTCCACTGCTAACTGCTTCGTCTCTGCTCTCCGCTATCACCGTCACTATGCTCTCTCCACTGCTAACCACTTCGTCTCTGCTCTCCGCTATCACCGTCACTATGCTCTCTCCACTGCTAACCACTTCGTCTCTGCTCTCCGCTATCACCGTCACTATGCTCTCTCCACTGCTAACCACTTCGTCTCTGCTCTCCGCTATCACCGTCACTATGCTCTCTCCACTGCTAACTACTTCTTCTCTACTCTCCGCTATCACCGTCACTATGCTCTCTCCACTGCGAGCTACTTCGTCTCTGCTCTCCGCTATCACTGACGCTATGCTCTCTCCACTGCTAACTGCTTCGTCTCTGTTCTCCGCTATCACCGTCACTATGCTCTCTCCACTGCTAACCACTTCGTCTCTGCTCTCCGCTATCACCGTCACTATGCTCTCTCCACTGCTAACCACTTCGTCTCTGCTCTCCGCTATCACCGTCACTATGCTCTCTCCACTGCTAACTACTTCTTCTCTACTCTCCGCTATCACCGTCACTATGCTCTCTCCACTGCTAACCACTTCGTCTCTGCTCTCCGCTATCACCGTCACTATGCTCTCTCCACTGCTAACCACTTCGTCTCTGCTCTCCGCTATCACCGTCACTATGCTCTCTCCACTGCTAACCACTTCGTCTCTGCTCTCCGCTATCACCGTCACTATGCTCTCTCCACTGCTAACTACTTCTTCTCTACTCTCCGCTATCACCGTCACTATGCTCTCTCCACTGCTAACCACTTCGTCTCTGCTCTCCGCTATCACCGTCACTATGCTCTCTCCACTGCTAACTACTTCTTCTCTACTCTCCGCTATCACCGTCACTATGCTCTCTCCACTGCTAACTACTTCGTCTCTGCTCTCCGCTATCACCGTCACTATGCTCTCTCCACTGCTAACCACTTCGTCTCTGCTCTCCGCTATCACCGTCACTATGCTCTCTCCACTGCTAACGGCTTCGTCTCTGCTCTCCGCTATCACCGTCACTATGCTCTCTCCACTGCTATCGGCTTCGTCTCTGCTCTCCGCTATCACCGTCACTATGCTCTCTCCACTGCAAGCTACTTCGTCTCTGCTCTCCGCTATCACCGTCACTATGCTCTCTCCACTGCTAACGGCTTCGTCTCTGCTCTCCGCTATCACCGTCACTATGCTCTCTCCACTGCTAACTACTTCGTCTCTGCTCTCCGCTATCACCGTCACTATGCTCTCTCCACTGCGAGCTACTTCGTCTCTGCTCTCCGCTATCACCGTCACTATGCTCTCTCCACTGCTAACTACTTCGTCTCTGCTCTCCGCTATCACCGTCACTATGCTCTCTCCACTGCTAACCACTTCGTCTCTGCTCTCCGCTATCACCGTCACTATGCTCTCTCCACTGCGAGCTACTTCGTCGCTGCTCTCCGCTATTACCGACGCTATGCTCTCTCCACTGCTAACTGCTTCTTTTCTTCAGCTCCGCTATCGTTACGCTCTCTCTACTGCTAGCTGCTTCTGTTCTTCAGCTCTGCTATCGTTACGCTCTCTCTACTGCTAGCTGCTTCTCTTCTTCAGCTCCGCTCCACACTGTTTCCAAACTCCGTCTCCAACTCTGTCTCCAAACTCTGTCCCCAACTCTGTCTCCAAACTCTCCTCCAAACGCCACGTCTTGCCTCGTCCAGCTCCCAACTCCCGCTCCAATTCCCCACTCCCCAATTTATCCACGCTCTCATCACACCCCAATTAATCAACCCGCGTCCCAACGGCGCTTCGCGTGCCCTCTGCACCTGTTCCTCCAGACTTCAAGATGCCACTCCAGCCTTGACAACAACACCAACCAATCCCAGCCGTCCTTGGCTCCCCCATCTTAATTGCCCTAACATAACCTGTACTGTATTTGCCTTCGCTACAGGCTGATCCAACATAACCCGTACTGTCTTTGTTTCCATGCAATCGCACTGTTTGCACTACGCACTACATCTGTATGAGCTTGGGAAAATAGATGATCGGAGGGAAATCCAAACTAAGGCAGTGTGAGGGAATAAGCAGAAAGAGAAGTGTTATGAACTGCAGACGTGGTGAGTGGGTGGGTGAGTGAGTGGGTGAGTACGTTTTGTCGGTGAGTAGGTAGGTGATAGATAAGGTGTAGGGTAGCGGTTAGCGCGCTGCACAACGAGCCCGGTGACCCAGGTTCGATACCTGCTCATGGCCAACACCAGCGACAATTTACCTGAACCGGTCCTGGGCCTCCCCTAGATCGACTCAGACTCAAACGAGTACCTGGTGCGGTGTGTAAACATCACCACTGGGGAGACAAAGGCAGTGAGGCGTGGTGCTGGCCACCCACCCCCTTCGTGTGCCGTGCCGGCCTTCATAGGTGCTCGCTAACAGCACTTGCCCCAACAGCCTGTTAAAGGCTATACGGGGGGGGAGGAGGAGTGGTCTTTGGGTGAGCGGGTGAGTGGGTCAATGAGTGAGTGAGCGGGTGACGAAGCGGTTTGTTCCCTTTCTCGTGTGCTAGCTCGGGGCTGGCACGGCATTGCCGGGCATCGTGGCTGCCAGGTGTGGTGCCACTGTCACTCTGTCCGACCTGCCTCGGTGCCTTCCCAGTTGCGCTCACAGCTGCCGGGTCAACGGCCTCGATGGCTCCGTGCCAGTTTTGGGTCTGCGCTGGGGCCTAGTGACCCCCTCGCTCGTCACAATGCCGCCCCTGGACATTATCCTCGGTTCCGATATCCTCTACGAGCCACGTGGTGAGTGACACAACCCCCTGCTGTTGCTGCCCCTCTCCATGGCAGCCTGTGTATTAAACTCTGCGTATAATTAAATGTTCCACGGTGACCGGTCCCCGTACTATGCATTGCTGATGTGATGATTGCAATGTCATGGGGGTTTGTTCTGTTTTAATGGTCTCCTTTCGTATGAATTAATAGCAGCAGCAGATTAAAGTTGTCATTTTATATTTGTTTAACACATAGGCTTTTGCGACCAATATTAACCATTATAATATTATTATCGCCTGATTGAAGCTGCTTGTAGTTACCGGAAAAATGTCGTACTACGAATTGTAAATGTTGTAGGTTTACTCTCAAACACACCGGTGTGCTGAACTAGTAACCAATTGGCACATTTTGTTTACGTGAAAACCTTACTAATTGGCTGTGTCGGGTGGTAGCAGATTTAACAATACATTTATATTTACGTGATCTAACCCAACAAAACCTCATGAATTTCAGATGTAGTTATCCATTCAGTTGTCTGTTCAGAAGCAGATTAGATATCGTCCATTCCTCCTTTAGAGGAGTGAAGACCGCAGCAGCGGCGGAGTGTTCACGATGGTGGTCGATTGTTTGGGATTCATGGCCACACTCACAGGCCACCGAATCTTTGATGCGCCATTTGTGCATCAGGTGGCCGCATCGGCCACACGCCCCCTGGTCCCGTTTCAGAATCAGAATATCAAATGTATACTGGAGGAGGAATCTGATGAGCTAGAAAGCTCTTTTTCACAGATGTCCAGTAGGGGCATGGGGTAAGAACGTTACAACAACAAACAGTACAAAAACACGCTCGTGCAAAGTACAAGAAAGGTAAACAAATAACTCAAATACATACAAATGAAAGTAAACCACCCCCATCCTACCAGGCAAAGCCCACTGAGATATTAACTTATATTTCTGAGGCAACCTGACCACAAATGAAAGCTCAACATAGTGGCTGATCATTTGGACATTTATACCAGCAAAATAATCAAAACAATCTCAGTCGATTGTCGGACCATTGGCAGCATGCAAGGTTAACCTGGGAAGTTCGACCGGTAAGGCCCCCTGTTAGAGAGACGTTCATTTTTAATGTTTGATCAACAGTGTTCACCAACTGCTGGACTCTCATTACCAACTTCGGCAATACTTCTGCGGGGCCCCTCCATAGGAGAGTCATGTCAAATTGTAACGCTGCCGCACAGTATCCGCTCGCTCACTCACGTAGAGAGAGAGAGGACAACTCGAGAGGTGCGAGGAAGAATAGCAGATGAGCGGGAAGTCGGCCCACGCAATAAGCTCACGTGCGAACAATTGCCCAAGGTCTGCTGTCCTCCATATGCAGGTGTTATCTGCCAATTAACACGGTTGGCTATGTACGGTGCGAAAGAAGTTGAATGTGCACACATACCATGGAGAAAGCGAAACGTACAAAGTGAAACACTCAATCCCACGTAGACGGAATAGGTGGAGCCCACATTTTTGCTGTGCCGCCTTCTGGCAGAGCCAGAGGGTATGGCTCATTCTCGACGCCCGCCCACGGGGAATGGAGATGAAACGGATGGAGATTAAATCTTGACTTAAAGCTTTCGTGACTACAGGAATTCATATTCTTGGGTCTTTCGGTAAAGTCACGTGGATAAAACGTAGATAGGTTCCTATCTGAACCTATCTACGTGACTTTACCGAAAGACCCAATAATATAGATGGAGATTAGTCCTCACATTGCTGTACCCCCTTCTCCTGGCGAGCGAGAGGGTACGGCTCATCCTAAAAAAGGGGAGTTTTGTAACATCTGTGCGGTGATCCACCAACCCTCACTGCTCCCTGTACAGCGCTGGATTACCAGGCACATGCATAGCCATTGGTGGGGGAAGCGTTAAGTATTAGATTTGTGAAGTTGGAACAGTGGGGAGCAGTAGTTGGTGCATATGTCATCTCAGTCGACCAACCAATGGCACTTTGTCTGTTCCATGACCTCTTGTCAGCGAGGCCTTCAACACTTCATGTGGCCTCAAAAAATGCACCTAGCCTGGCACAAGCGCCGTGATGACGTCACCACCACTTAGTGGTAAATGGCTATTGTTGTTATCTGTTTTTAAGTTTTCAGTTGTATTTTTTCTCTTTGAGCAGTGTGGCTATTAATACACTCTTCAAAAATATGTTATCTCCGTCGCCTGGAATACAAGAGTTCATGGGTTCGATCTCGACCCTGACGCCTGTATATTTAGCTTGCATGTTATTGCTGTGGTTGTGTGGATTTTTTTCCAGGTCCTCCGGTTTTTCCCTTTACATGTAGAAACGTGCGTTTAGAGTATTTGGCTGCTATAAATTTCCACGTGATAAGCCACTTCGTTGAGCTATTATTTGTGACAGCCAGGTCGCTTCTGAAAAATAGCTACAGTATATAGCTCAGTGGGCCTTACCTGGTAAAATAAAACACGTTTTTGTTGGTTTTAGTTTCATTACAACAGATAATTCTGAGATCTAGAGCAGCTTGAGGAGGATTTTGATTTCCTCGCTGTGACCCATACCTTGTTCCCATGCGTGGAAGGGGGTTGCTTAGTTCAGAACTGAACCCTGGGTTTATTCTCATTCCTTACTCGATGTGTCTTCAAGGAGGGCAATACACATTGAGCATTTAAAGAAAAGACCAACGATTGTATAGATTTTATCAATCCGTTTTTTTAAGGCAATTGTTTTATGAAAGATATTATTTGTGTTGTGATTACTCTTTGGTTCTTTCGATAAATTCACATAGAAAGAAAATAAATTCAGAGATAGAGGTGGGTCTGCTGGAGCAGCTGCTGGAGGAGAGAAATTAGCATGTCAATGAAAGACTGGTACATTTTAGAGAGAGGTGTGTGGAAATCCACCCCGAAGCGACCGAGGGAGAGAAAGAGCAAATGGACCTATGAGAGCCTAGTAAATTTTAGAGAGAGAAATAGTCATTACTCTTTGGTTCTTTCGGTAAAGTCACGTAGAAAGAAAATAAATTAAATAATAGAATACGACGTTTCGATTATAACACAAGCAACAGTCATCAGGTGGAACTAAATTTGAGAGAGAGACAAAACACAGACACGGAGACATACAGACAGACACACAAGCAGAGAGAGACAACATAGAGACACACAAAGAGAGACACACAAAATAGACACACAGAGACCCAATGCCTCTGTGTCGAGGCCTTAAATACAGAGAGAGGGGGGGGGGACAGAGAGAGAGGTGGGTCTGCTGGGACAGCTGCTGGAGCAAAGAAATTAGCATGTCAATGAATCCACCCCGAAGCGACCGAGGGAGAGAAAGATCGAATGGCCCTATGAGAGCCTGGTAAATTTTAGAGAGAGGAATAGTTTGAGAAAACTAAATTTATCAAATCTTTTGGAAATGTAATGCATTGCAACACAGAGAGTCGGCTAACACACAGTTAACGCATAGCTTGGTTGATTATGATCTCCAAAGATTGCTAAAATTTGAAGTTAAGTGTGAAATTTGACAAACAGAGAGATGTGTGGAAATCCACCCCGAAGCGACCGGGGGAGAGAAAGAGCGAATGGACCTATGAGAGCCTGGTACATTTTAGAGAGAGAAATAGGCCGTTTGAGAAAACAAACTTAGTAAACTAGGAAATATAATGCAATACAACACAGAGTAGGCTAACATAACAGTGAACACACTACCTGGTTGATTACGTTCTTCTAAAGATTGCTAAATTTGAGAGACAGACAAACACGGACACGGAGACACAAAAACACAAGCAGAGAGAGACAACACAGAGAGAGACACACAACACGACTTTACCGAAAGAACCAACGAGTAATTTCTGCAGTCACGAAAGCTTCAAATCAAGTTTGTGTTGTGATTATTTGTGGATTTTTGGACTTTGGTGGACCTCCTAAGCAGTAGATCTCTGAGGTTGTTTCCTAAGATTCCTACAGCAGTGAATTGTTCCTGGAAAGTTTAAACAATGTTGGGTCGATTCAAGCATAATGTATTAGATTTAGGCATATGGGCTCAGAGATCAATAGAAGCAAAAGAGTGATACTAACATGCCTGGCGTATGGTTTCGGAGCCAATTTAGACTCGTTATATTTAAATGCTATATGCTAATTCCTTGACCACCAGGACACTGATTAGCATCACAGAATTGGAGCTCAAATTCAGTCAGGGAAAAAAGTATTTGATCCCCTGCTGATTTTGTTCGTTTGCCCACTGACAAAGAAATGATCAGTCTACAATTGTAATGGTAGGTTTAATTTAACAGTGAGAGACAGAATAGCAAGAAAAAAATCCAGAAAAACGCATGTCAAAAATGTTATAAATTGATTTGCATTTTTATGAGGGAAATAAGTATTTGACCCCCTCTCAGAAAGATTTCTGGATCCCTGGTGTCTTTTATACAGGTAACGAGCTGAGATTAGCAGCACACTCTTAAAGGGAGTGCTCCTAATCTCAGCTTGTTACCTGTATAAAAGACACCTGTCCACAGAAGCAATCAATCAATCAGATTCCAAACTCTCCACCATGGCCAAGACCAAAGAACTCTCCAAGGATGTCAGGGACAAGATTGTAGACCTACACAAGGCTGGAATGGGCTACAAGACCATTGGCAAGCAGCTTGGTGAGAAGTGGAGTTGCAATGATCATGGGAACGGTAAGGAATCAGCCCAGAACTACACGGGAGGATCTTGACAATGATCTAAAGGCAGCTGGGACCATAGTTACCAAGAAAACAATTGGTAACACACTATGCCGTGAAGAACTGAAATCCTGCAGCGAGCGCAAGGTCCCCCTGCTTAAGAAAGCACATATACATGCCTGTCTGAAGTTTGCCAATGAACATCTGAATGATTCAGATGACAACTGGGTGAAAGTGTTGTGGTCAGATGAGACCAAAATGGAGCTCTTTGGCATCAACTCAACTCGCCGTGTTTGGAGGAGGAGGAATGCTGCCTATGACCCCAAGAACACCATCCCCACCCTCAAACATGGAGGTGGAAACATTATGCTTTGGGGGTGTTTTTCTGCTAAGGAGACAGGACAACTTCACCGCATCAAAGGGACGATGGACGGGGCCATGTACCGTCAAATCTTGGGTGAGAACCTCCTTCCTTCAGCCAGGGCTTTGAAAATGGGTCGTGGATGGGTATTCCAGTATGACAATGACCCAAAACACACAGCCAAGGCAACAAAGGAGTGGCTCAAGAAGAAGCACATTAAGGTCCTGGAGTGGCCTAGCCAGTCTCCAGATCTTAATCCCATATAAAATCTGTGGAGGGAGCTGAAGGTTCGAGTTGCCAAACGTCAGCCTCAAAACTTTAATGACTTGGAGAAGATCTGCAAAGAGGAGTGGGACAAAATCCCTCCTGAGATGTGTGCAAACCTGGTGGCCAACTACAAGAAACGTCTGACCTCTGTGATTGCCAACAAGGGTTTTACCACCAAGTACTAAGTCATGTTTTGCAAAGGGGTCAAATACTTATTTCCCTCATTAAAATGCAAATCAATTTATAACATTTCTGACATGCGTTTTTCTGGATGTCTTTGTTGTTATTCTGTCTCTCACTGTTCAAATAAACCTACCATTAAAATTATAGACTGATCATTTCTTTGTCAGTGGGCAAACGTACAAAATCAGCAGGGGATCAAATACTTTTTTCCCTCACTGTATGTGTTTTGACCTCCAATTTGGTGAGTAGTAGGTGAGTGGGTGGGTGAGTGAGGGTTTTGTTGTGACCTGTAGTATGGTGGTTGAACAAAGTATGGATGAGATAAAACAGTCAGTGTCTTGTAGACCGAGTCCTCAACATCAATGAAGGAATCAATGAGTGAATCTGATGATGACAATTCCCAGATTTTGAAGCTGTGCTGGTGACCGTGTCTTACCTTCTCAACAAGAACCCCCGCGGACAGTTCTGGACCACCTACCAGGAGCGCAGGTATGCAGCGCCAACCAGGGGCGCACCTACGGGGGGTATGTAGCAGCAGCATTATGTGTCGCATGGGGGCCCAGTTGGCCACAAGGGGCCCCAAATCAACAGATCAATAAGTAGCAAAATGTTAAGAAAAATGATTAAAATTCAAATGTATTCGTTCAAAATAACCTGCAGTGTACCATGGACCAAGCCCGACTAACGCAGCTGACTATCGTATCAATATGAGCAGCATACAGTTGTGCGATCCACCCCTTTGATGAAATAGGAGACCAATGTGGCCAGCATGAAAGCAAGATGCACGATAACTTAATAATGAGTATTGTACCTTGAAATATTTTTTATTAATACTGCCACTGTCCTCTTAACCCAATACACGATGCAACTAAAATAATGTATATAGTAATAGCCTACGTATTATTGTATACGGGTTAAAAACCATCCGCAGCTATTTCAGTTAAAAGTGAGAAACCAGGGGGGCCCACAGTCTTATTTTGTGTAGCCCCCCCGTTGAAATAGGTCGTTGAGTCCCTGGTTCCAACGCACATGGACACAGCCAGTCGATTAAACTATAAACACATTTTTTTATTTTACCAGGTAACACCTACTAGAGCTATACAGCTCTTTTTCAGAAGCGACCTGACCACAAATGATAGCCGGAGGACTCAAGAGAAAAATCTATGCAACCACGAGAAGAGAGACACGAAAACTCCAAATATACAGCTGGTTTCAGGATCGGGATCGAACCCATGACCTCCTCTCTACCAGACGAGGTAGTTAACATCTGCTAGCGACCGTGGCACCCCTTGACACCAAAGCGGCCAACATGCTCTTATTGCATCTCAACGATAACCGCTGAATATTTGTTACTGCTGCCAGTACAGAGCAACACAATCAACTGCAGGTGGAAGTCCTGCTGCCAGTTCTTACCTCACAGCACCGGATATAATTCAGCAATCAGGGTGATTGATAATCCAGTACTCACTCATCCACTCCGGTCGTCAGTTGCCTATGCGTCACTCTTCTATCGCTACTACTAAGGGCACTGCGGTGGCGAGATGTTAACTCCCTCGCCTGGTATACAGGCGGTCGTGTGTATTTTTCTCTGGGTCCTCCGGTTTTTCTCTCCACATTTAGAATAATTTCGCCTTTAAAGTATTTGGTTGCTAAAAATTTCCACGTGATAAGCCACTTCGTTGATCTATCATTTGTGATAGCCAGAACGCCACATTTGCAAATGTGATTTGTAAATTAATCCTTAACAATGTATTGAGAGTTACAATTTAACGTACAGTTTTTATTAAGGGACTGTGTGTTGTCTTGGTGTAGTCTGAAACTGTTTTTGCTGTTGTTTACTGCCTTTCCGAAGCTTGGGAATTGATTATGGAATTTTGTACTTTTATTTTTATTTATTAATTAAAGAGGCGCCATGGTGGTGAGATGTTCTCTTTCTCTCCCGGTATGCATGAGGTCAGGGGTTTGATCCCGACCCTGACGCCTGTATATCTGGAGTTTGCACGTTTCTCTCTGTCTCCATGGTCACGTGGATTTTTTCTACGGGTCCTCCAGTTTTTCCCCTCGACATTTAGAAACATGCACTAAAATCATTTTGATCATTTTGCTGCTATAAATGTCCAAATGATGGGCCACTTTGTTGAGCTATAATTTGTGGCCATGTTTGCCTGGTAGGATCGGGATGGTTTTGTTGTATTTGTATGTGTTTTGGTGATTTGTTTACTTTTCTTGTACTTTGTACTACTATCATATTTGTGTATTTGTTGTTGTAACGATCTTACTCGGCCCCGACTGGACAGCTGTGAAAAAGAGCTTCATTGTTCATCGGATTCCTCCAGTATAAATAAATATTCTGATTCTGCTTCCAAAAAAAAGCTATGTAGTTGACATTTTTATTTTCAACATTTTATTAGCAAAGGCCCACAAGGCCCCAAAACGTCAAGGAGCCAGCAACAAGCAGCACTGTCAGAGCTGTAACATGAGAGTTAACATGTTACTCTGATTAAGGAAGGTTTTTGGTAAATATCTTGGGGGGAAAAGAGGTGATGTGAGGGAATTCCAAATTGGAACAGTTATATATTGTGATAACCTGTTTGTTATTTGTACATTTTGTTTTGACACCATGTATTTGTTCATTCATTTTGCTTGGTAGTAGCTGTCTGTAGGACTTGATCCTCGTATAATTAATGTCCAGCGTTAATGGATGCAATTAACATGAATGATGCTATGTATAATATGAATGTATTTTCATAAGGGAGGAAGCTTAAAGAAAAATTAGGTGACCTGCAGTGTGGGTAATGGGTGAATGGGTGAGTGGGTGAGAGGGTGGATGAGTGAGTGTGTGGGTGGGTGCATGTGTTGCTGTGAGTACCTCCGATTAGCATGGTTGGCTATATACGGTGCGCAAGAAGTTCAACATACACGCATACAGTGTTAGTAGTGGTCGAATACAGTCTGACGGATGAGACGAGACAGTCGGTGTCTGGTAGAGACTGAGCGTTCAACATGGGTGGAGCAATCAACGAGTAAAATTCACGGGAACAGTGACCATGGTAGTCGTAGTGATAGACGAGTGATAGGGAGGCGACTGACGGCCGGTGAAGCGAGTGACCTGAGCGAATCGGTGAGTGCCGAATCGTCAATCACCCTGACCGCTTCACGGAAAATTTAATTTCGACACGGTGAGTTATTGCACTCGTATGTAAACAGACAATGGTCTGTGTCAAAACCCATCGAGGGCGAAGTTATCATGCGCAATTGAAAGTTTGCGAATGATGTGCGAGTGCGTGTCAGCCGCCAGCTGTTTTAAATCCCTCCACGTGCATCTGGGTATTGCAGCGAGTATGCATTTCTGTGCCTGACTGAAAGCTCCTCCGGCTTTACGGAGGCTATGAATACCCAGGGTGCCCCAGTGCTAAACGAGAAACCTCCCTGAGCCACGGCAAGGACGGGCACTTGTTATATTGCAGCATTCCTTCTGACTTGACTGTTCCGTCTCATCCACACGAAGATCAACCACAGTTCTACTGCAGGTCACGACAACACCGCATTCACCTGCACAGTTGTCCACTCGCTCGCCTTGCTGCGAGGGAAGAATCGGAAAGAGAAGAAGTGTAGAAAGTGTTGCGTACTGATTGACTGTGGAAATGGTCACTGCTGGTTGTCGCTTTAACAACCTGTTTGCCTATGTTAGGCCTCACACCCTAAGCAAGTGGTTCAACATAGAAGATGCCTGGGGTTTGATCTTCCACGAAGCTCGTGGTCCATCCTCAACCGCATCCATTGCACAAACCATGGCAACAGTAGATGTGGATACGTGATGCGCAAATGGATATTGAAAACTCTCCATTGTATGACTGAGGTTATCCAGAACAAACCGGACAGCGTATAACGATGCAATGCCCTGACCCACAAATCGGCAGGAGAGATCACAGTCCTGACGCAGTTATCTGGCTTGACCACCTGAATGTGAAATTGTAGTTGTTCCTCTGCATCTACATCAGCCATATGAAAAAAGAAGAATCTGCAGTGGTTGAAACCTAAATTGAACTGAAGGTCTTATCAGTGCTGGCTCCACCTCTGCTCTGACTGTTTCTCTTAATTTTATTGATTAAAACATTTAATCTGGAAAATCCCTGGAGATGGAACATCTCATTTGCAAGGGCTTGCAGCATGTCAATTGACACAGACATGGCAAGCATGTGTGTCATTTTCTAATTATTTTTATTATATTATTATCATAATCTACTAAACTATTTTTATTTTAGCAGTTAAGGCCCACTGAGCTATATAGCTCTTTTTGAGAAGTGACTTGGCTACAAATGATAGCTCAACAAAGTGGCTTATCACTTGGAAATTTATATCAGAAGCCAAAATCTCTCAATGCACGTTGATTCTAAATGTGGAGGGGAAAACCAGAGGACCCTGAGAAAAATCCATGCAACCAGAGGGAGAGAGACACGCAAACTCCAAATATACAGCAGGCGTCAGGGTCGGGATCAAACCCACGACCTCCTGCATACCAGGCGATGGAGTTAACATATCGCCAACATGGCGGTTTAGCTGGTAGCTATTGTCAGGTACATTATTATATCACGCCATTTATGCCAAGTACATCGCAAAACACGCAGAGAATTAACAAGCAGAACCGATTTTTGTCGTGCGAAAATAAGCAGGAAAGATATGCATGCTGGGAATCACAATGAGACTACTGGGACAGAGCAACACGTGATTATCGGACACATGCAGGTTCATGAATACATCGTCCAAACTATATTATTGGTTATTTCGGTAAAGTCAACGTGACTTTACCGAAAGAACCAAGAATATTAATCACTGCAGTCACGAAAGCTTTTAAATCAAAATCATCCAAACTGTTAAGATAAGTGGATTTGGGCAGGGCACGTCAGAGGCCAGCAGAGGTCAGTAGAGGTGATAGGCGATGGTGAAAAGCAACAATGGAGCGGCAGCCAGGGAATGGAATGCGACGGGGAGGACGTCCACTTGAGATGGAGCGATGAGATCAGTGTCGTGCTGTTGGAAGATCGTTGCGTTGCAGTCTCAAGAAGCAGCAGTGGTTAGTGGAGGCCTTCATCCAGCAGTGAATTGATCACGGCTGATGAAAATATTGATCGTGTTCATTATATAGTCTGTTCTATAATGTAGCGGTAGTTGCGTTCCTGAAGAACACCGCGTTGTCGAAAAATGGCGTTATATAAATAATTTATGACAAAGCACAGTCCGCAATAATGCATGAGATGCATACGCAGGCTGAACAAAGACTGAGGTGCGAGGGTAGCATCGAGAAGCATCCAGCAGCATCCCAATGCTTTGTGTGGTGATGCTACGCCGAGGCAGCCACATAACTGCTTATTCCTCCTCGCGCTTCGACGAAGTTCTGTTCACTCAATCGAGTTATATCGATTTCGCGTCCGTGTTATGAAAAATTCTTAAATAAATTCATCACGTTATATCCAATTTGCGTTATGAAA